AATAAAATAAAACTGTGTGATGGACAGTATTCGGTTACTATGACATTGATAGTCTTGGAGCCAGGGCCATGTTAAGGAGGAGCCAAAGGGGACTCGGGTACCGTAGTTTTGTAAAAGAGGGACGCCCTTATTTGCTCTTAATATGCTACCTGTGTCCAGTAGCCTCGAAGAAAAAATTTCGCCCCGAGGCGCTGAAATGTTTGACACATCTCTCCTTGGAGCAATATAGTTGTTATTTGTAACTCATGAGAAGTCAAATAGGCATGATTATTTCAAGTGTTGTGAAACCGTATTAACGCTTTTACTGTGCAGATACTGTATAAAAATAGCTTATAAATAACTGATATACTAATTTTATTTGTCGTTTTTATTTCGTAGTTTATTGCATATATGTATAAATGCAGTACAATGTTTAACTAGGTATAAGAAAAAATGTTTTTTTTTGTTTTTTTTTTTTTTAATTATTTCGCTATAGCATTTAAATCTGATAATATTATGTTCTGTTTATTCGATTTCCCAGATTTTTAATTATTTCTTTTTATTTTAATTATACAAATGCAAACAATATTATATGCATTTCGACATATTAAAGTAAATATGTATACTACATACAAGCATTTTATTAAAAACATAATAAAATAAAATATAAAAATGTTTACAGTTACAAAAGTTTATATTTTATAATAAATAACTCGTTTATAAATACCATTTACATTTCTGAAAATAATCAGTTATGTATCATTATAGTGGTATATTTAAACAACTGTTTCCCGAGAAATTAATTTTTTTCTTATTCAATTAAAAGATTGTTAATTTTAAATTGTTTTTCTAGACTTCGTATTTATCCTAGATCAAATGTAAATAATTTACATATCGAGCACAAAAAAAAAATTAATACTATAGTAATAAATATAAAAATAAAACAATATAATAAGTCTACTATTTCCTTATATGAATAAAAATACAAATCATATACTTTCCCTCGTACTCTTAAAAAAAAAATCTTTTTCTGAATTCATAAAATAATTGATTTTTAATAAATATTTTTCCTGATTTTGGATGGAGTTCAACCCCCCCCTCCTTGGATCCACCACTGATCGGCATATAAAACACGGCCCTGTCCACCCGCACTATTCTAAAAATGCACATACATTCGAGAGAAATGAATTTGCTTCAGGTACCACTCAGTGTGATACTCAGAGTGAGCGACCTACTCCTGCGATCCTGGTACGAATGCGTTTTCTTTAATCCATTTAATACGTTATTGTAATGTATATCACAATATATAATATACGTACACATAATATAATATATGTATATTATACATAATATTTATTCACTTATACACTTAATACAACGGATATCCGTATTTTTGTGGAACCTCACCCGAAATCCTTAGATGATTGTGGGATTATGGGTTATTGAATAATGGGGAGTGCCAGTAGTATTGCACCGCTATCCTGACGCGTGTTATTCCTGTGCTCCTGGTACTCGGTCTCTCGCAAAACGCCGGGCGAGGCGTTATAAACCCTACACGACATTTTTACCACTTTTGCCCGTCACTACATCGTGCCGTGTATTTCGTACATTTAAAAATTCTGTAAACGCTGGTGGTGCCGTCGAGGCTCGTGGTAGCGATGGTGAGCGATGGCGTGCCCACGCTCAACGAAAACAGCACGATTGCTGCTTGTTATTGCTCGTAGCGAGCCGCGACCGTGGGCCCCCGGCAGATGTGTCTTACTCGCTCGCCATTTGCGATGGCCGTCGACAGAGGGCAGCATGTGACGGCGGACCGCAATCGCGTCGTTCGTAATATAATAATACGTAATGCGCAGTAGTGGTGGGGATTATCGTTCTTTTTGTCGGTACAATTACAATAAAGTACAAATTCCAAAATACTCGTTACATCGGTACAATTTTTCTTAATTACAAATCTATTCGGAACGATCGAGTATACAAGTGTATTCCGGAAAAGATCTTTTCAAAAGTTGGCTACACCATTTCCAAAAGACGTATTAGATTATCAACAAAAAATACGGAAATGTTAATATATTTAAATAGTAATACTATTGTTATAGGAATAAATAACTAAATTGAATACTATTATTTTATTTTTTATTTTTATCCCTATAATTATTTTAGACTTAGGCAAATAGATTGATTAATTCCGTGTACGAGTGTACACGTAGTGTAATACACTAAACTGCTAATACTAAAATGCTAGAAGGCGAGATGTATTCGTTCCAACCAGTGCGTAACAAAAAAATGTTGCCCCCCCCCGCAAAAATAAATAATGGGCCCCTAAATATTGTTTATGTAGGTGTATTAGTTAAAAAACATTAATCTGATATAGGTAAATCACTTATTTTAATAACAATTTTGTTATGATATGATAAAAAATAACAATATTTATTTAATATTACCATTGATTATATATATATATATAGATTGCTCACTGGCCGGTTTTCGATGGCATGAAAAAAAAAAAATTAGTAATGTAATTTATTATGAAAAAAAACGTATTATTTGGTATTTTGGTAGTTCCAATAATTCGCCCATAATATATTTTATAAATATTCACAGCGTAATTATTATTTTACATAGCACAACAGTCTTAAAGATTTACTCTACGAATTTAGAATTGATAGATCAACTTTATGTAATATAATACGTGCATGTGATCCTAGCCTTAAGGAGCGCTCCGTATGTTATTTTTCTAAGTTAGGTGCCATAGTACAATATTAGTTAAACTAATATGAAATATGTGTTATAAAAATGTGTACATATATTTTGTGTATTACAGCATGTGGTCCACAATGGATAGAATTGCTAAATAAGACTAGTTTAATAACTTATACACTGTAAAAAATGTTATTATAGTTCAATTAACGACGCAATGCAAATTTACTCAGAATATTTTGCTAATTCATTTTGCATGTAAAACTAAATAAATTTGTCACAAATATTTAGGTAAATAATTTTCACGCACATTTCTGTGTAAATTTCAATTAAAAGTATTGTGTAAATATACAGAGTTTTTCAAAATAAATTAATTTTATGTGTAAAATGTTAGTAAATTTATCCCAACTACATATGTACATTTTGTTTATATAAATTGTTGTGCACATTTCAATAATGAGTGTCCTTAAATTTACAAATGTAATCCAAGTAAATTCAATTGTATATAAAAACATTGGTAAATTTGTTATAATTAAATAAGTAAATAATGTTTAGAAATACGTTTGTGTACATTTTAATTTCTGATATCAATGCTATACATAAACGCAATGTGGGGAGAGACTTAGGGGCATAGTCCCCCTAAATACTTTTTTAACGATGATGGTAACAAATAATAAATAGGCGAGCTCCCCCCCCCCCCCGAGTTTATTAGGTATACATTTTGTCCAGTCCACTCGAAAGTAAAATATTTAAATTGTGCCTAATTTGGAAATTTAACAAACATTTAGATAGGTATCTGATACAATTAAACCAATAATAGGTATATAATAATTTTAGTTGTTAAATAATAAAACTTATTAATCAATAAAATGAGTTCATAGATATTTATTTTAAATTTTAAAACATTAATAATAAAATTGATATATTATATTACCCACATAAAACAACTCATCCATCTGTATATATAAAACAGTAAGCTGATTGACTGCTATCAACGCACAGCTCAAACCATTAGACGGATCTGGCTGAAATTTGGCATACAGATAGCTATTATGATGTAGACGTGCGCTAAGAAAGGATTTTTCGAAATTTTGAATTTAAAGGGTTGAAATCGGTTTAATATTTTTTGACCAGGTCGATAACTGCGCTATTGAAAATGAATTATATTAAATAAAACTATTAAAAAATTATTAAAAAACTATTAAAAACTATTTAAAAACTATTAATTTTATTTTTGGTAGTAAATGACGGGTATTACATAAATATTAAACAAAAAGATCCCGCAACAGGTGCCAAAACAAATAAGAATGTTAGTTCAAAAAATTATTATGCATATCGGTTGATGATTAGACGCGATCAGGACTAAGTTATTTTACGATGCATAAGCTTTGTCAACAATTCATGGTCGAAATATATATAAAGACAGATAGCGAACGATTTCGATACTTCGATTTCGATTCAATCAAAAAAAGCTGCGTGCAAAAGATTCTCAAAACAATTGTTAGATATTGGAGATGGGAAAGTTACTACAGATGAAACGGGATGTATAAAATTACCGAACGATTTCTGCACAATCATTTATTCGCATGATGCTCTCATTGACCAGATATGTCCCAGTGTACACAGACAATACACAAATCATGAGTGGCTGGCAGAAAGAGCAATTTTAGTAGCAAAAAATGTGGAGGTCAACGAATTGAATCTCAAGATACAAAATTAGTTACCAGAAAACATGGTGTTTTCAAAAATTTCAATAGATTTAACAAAATTTAATTTTAGCAGGTTGCATACATTTATATACTTAAACCCGGCAACGACGGGTAATTCAGCTAGTTGTATATATGTTAAAAATATATTAGATATCCCAAACATCCATTTTATATCCAGTACATTTGTGACATTATGTAGATATCTATTAGATATTCATAGAAAGTAACTAGTACATAAGCCACAGTGGATTTTCATGGATGTCCATTAGACATTGATATTTTGTGATTAGTGGACTATATGATGTATCAAAATGTACGTCCAGCTATTTCAATTTTGTGTTGTTATTTTTCCCGAAATTGTGTTTATGATGAATAACTATATTATTATTTGGTGATAATAATAGCATACTTGTTGTCTATTACCTAATATTATTAATGTATTTGTGTCTACGTCTAAAACCCGTATGCAATGCTGTGATGACAGGCCCTGCCGGCCAGCGGTATTATTTTAGTACCTATATTTCCAATTCCTGGTAATGCGGGTTTGCGTGATGACGACGATAACGATTAACGATCGAAAATGGTTGATACTCGATTAATTTCGATTATTTTATATAAAGTGACTAGTGGCTAGAGCGTCGCTCTAGACTTTGACTGTGTAATGTGTAGTGTGTTTGATACAATGATTTTCATTTTCCGACCGTCCGTCGATTTGCGCGTACGCTGTTTAAGTTTTATTTTAGAAATATAAACTATAGCACAATATCCAGACAACCAGACAATTTTAGAATGTAAGAATGAAACTAAAACACATGATTATTTTATTGTTATAATTTCGAAGTCTATTGCATTTTCAATTTTTCATTTGGCATAGAAAAAAACATGCTTTTTGTAAACCTACTACATATACATAGTGATGTGAGTTTGTATTATACAAGGTAATATATTATACACATGGAATAAAATTATTTTATACAGGTAGTATAAAAAAAAAATTAAAGTGTTATTTTTAGTAACTCGACTATTAATTTTTTAGTTGTACTTATAGAATGGATCTCCAATAAAGTACAGTATTATTATAAAAATCAAAAATTTACTACATTATTGTAATCATGTTAACTTAGAATTCGGGTGTTAAAAATCAATTTATTGTACTATGATATAATTCAAATATTGTAAATATATAGGTACAATGAGATAGTATATAATTATAGAAGTTTTAAGTATAGTTTTCTTTTTATTTCTATTTAAAAAATATGTATTTCTATATATAACATACAATCGTATGTTACCTATATCATAATTGCAACAATAGCATGACTAAATATTAATTTGGTGAATAATTCTTGAATTAGGTATATGTTTTTTTTTTAATTTTTTCTTACTTTTTAGCCATTTTTTTCAATTCTATTTTAAAATAATTTATATTTCATAATTAAAAATGGGGTTATAATCTTTGTTAAATTCCTTATAATTTAAGGTACTGCAAGGTTCTATACGGTATAATACCTGTATAATATGGTATTATACAACAAATAAATAAAATACCTTATTTTAACATCTCTACATATGCACAATATAAATTATACAGTCCACATGTATTAATATAATTTATGTGTATTATTATTAATAAATATTTAAATATACATAGCTATTATATTTAATAACAGCATAACTAAAATAAAATAAACCATGATTATTAATTTATTATTGTTATTAGTTTTATTACATTAAAAACTAAACAATTTATTTGGTACCTATTGCTTAAATTGTAGTATAACTTGTTCATATTTAATATCCTACTGGTATTTTTTAGATATATATTGCATAATATATAGGTGTAAGTAACTCTTTGGACATAACAATAAAAGTAAAAAAGTATATGCGATAGGGTTTCAATGTGATGGCATTCTAGACGATGAATTTCAAATTTGTGTATTAAATATCAGTGATAACTATATTATTATTCCACTTTCAAATCTAAAAGATTACACGTCATATTCAATATTCACACATAAAGAACGTTCCGTAATAGTATTAAAATATATAATCAATTTATAAAATAGTTTGCACCCTATATTATATTATAATATTTATAATATTTATGAAATTGTATACATTATAATAGTTATAATGTAAATTAATTAATTAACTTTTATGTTTATATACATTTTTTTTCATGAGATTTTAACATAATATTTTAATATAGATATCATACCTAAGAATATATAAATAAATATAAACAATAAATAATTGTATTTTTCTTTTACATACTAAGCACATTTTCTTAATATAGTAATCACTGACTCCGTGTGTAATATTTTGTGAAATATATCGAAAAGCATAATATTATTTAAACTTGTGATAGTTCAAGTCCAATAAAAAAATAATTATAATTTATGAGTATTGTATCGTTTAATATACATTTTATTTATTTAAATAATGTTTCTAGTGCCCAAATGCCATTGATCTCTATGCAAAATTGTTGTTAAACCTTTAAATTATTCATGTCATGTATATTAAAATCAAATCTTTCCACAGTTTTATGAAAACTACGTATGCTTCTCAAAGACAAATGATTTTAAATGCTGATCAAATTGATACAATATTATTGGAATGGCCATTCCTCTGCAAGGTAATTTTTGTTTAAAGTATGGATTTTATTATTATAAAATCATAGTTTTGTAAATCAATACATAAAATTTTAAATATAATGTTATATTCATATCTATAGGTACTGTGCGTGAAGAACCATTTCTACTACCTAACCAATATAGAAGATAGAGCAGTTAATAATTTTAAAATAAAAATACTCACTATGATAAAGTTTGTCCAGGCAGAAGCTGAAAGAAAGCGTAAAGATAATAACCTGCAATCAAGATTAATGGATATAATTAAAAATCACAATAATAATAACAATAATTATAGTGATTTTTTGACATTATTATTATGTTTCATGGCTATTATGAAAGATAATGTTGAGCTAATGTTTATTATGTTTGAAGTAAATATTAATATCTGCCTATAGCTTTTCATTTTATTTTTCCATCAACTCATTTAATTGTTATATCTTTTTTAATTAAATTATAGGGCACATGTATCTTGATGATGTGCAATCAAATAAGAAAATAATTTCAACACCTGTTGTAGTTTGTCTTGGTAAGATTATAGTTTTATAAAATATAATCAATTTCTTTTCTTAAGTAAATATGTCTCGCACTTAGATCTAACTTGTTAGATATTTTTAGATGAATTAATAATAGTAACCAAACAATTTTGAAAGAAGTCATACTATTAAAACTGAAAATTGTATTATGTTGAATAAATCTCTTAATTCATTGCAATATATCTAATTTTGAATTTTAAAAAACCTGTTGCTCTAAAATTTAAGTACTTTTGGATATTTTGATTGTAATTACTAATTGCTAGTTTTATGCCATATATATAATAATTAATTATGTAAAAAATTCATATGTAATATTTGGTTGAATCCAAAATGCTTTGTCTTTGTAGACAATGTTTATAGAATGAATCAGTGACAGTTGAAGAGGCCATTATAATAATGTTTATGTCTTTATGTATTTAACATTCAATATTCTAAGGAATTAGCTGGTATTTTGCAGTTTCTCCAAAGGTAACTCTTTTATATACACTAAAAATTATTTAATTATTTTTATGTTTTTTACAGTTCTATGTTTAATATAAATGAAAAAAGGAATAAGGTAAAGAAGAAAACTTCTGCTGAAAAATTTGTTTCAAAATTACTTAAACTGATGACAGATTATGATAGTTATGTAAAAAAGTGGACATGTTAATTTTTTTTTTTACATTTTTTCTGTTATAAAAAGGGTATATAGTATATTTACTGAGTTACCTAATATACATGTAACATTATTAAGTTTAAATATATGAAAGCAGTTTTTTAATATTATTACATCATTATATTCTATTGTATTATATATATACTTTTTTGTTCTTTTATTTATATAGCAATATATTTATACAATCTATACAAACATGATATGCCTAATAAGTAAGTCTGATGAAAAATTTGATAATGATGTTAAAGAATAGAAAGGCTCCCAGTTGTGCCACCTGACAAGTTTAAGTTAATATTATTATGCAGGTCCTTGGGTCATTGCCTTTCTAACTTTCTGGGTATGAAGTTGGTAGAGGATAGTCTTAATTAATGGATTGGAATGCAAGTGGAACTTGGAATAGAATTTGTGGGTTGGTAGATTCACGTCTTTGTGGAGATTTTTGTTGGTTTCATACCAAGAGGCCAAGGTTATTAAGCGGAGGCGAAATGATTGAAGTTTTCGTGTTTGATGGCTTTGATTAAAGAGTAAATTTAAAGAATTTCAATTTCTAAACATTTAAAATTTAAAAAAAAAATTGAATTTAGTAAATTTCAATGTGATAAATTACTGGGAAAAACCAATGAAATATACACTCACTATATAGGTAAACGTTAACTGTTTGTAAATTTAAGAATTAATAACAGTTGAAATTTACTAACTTTTAACTTGTACATTTAACTATTAACCAATAACTAATATGCAATTACAAGTCACATATGTTGGTAAATGTCAACTTAAATTAATTTAATTTAATCAAATTAATAGATAAATTTACAAAACAAAGTTAGTAAATTTTATCACATGGTGTTATTAATGTGTGTTGCCACACATTTTTTTGTAAATTTACATAGAAAATTGTTTACAGTGTAGATTACTATCGACCTATTCAATAATACCTAACGACATAAAAAGTAAACTAGAATAAATTGCTGATAACATTTTCTGAAAACAAACGAAAACAATACTAAAACGGTTTGTTTTGGTAATGCGAATTAATGATAATAACTACCTACGTAAGTTATTTCGATATTAGGTAATTAAAATTCTAGTCGATGACTGAAGTACCTAATTATTACAATTACAATATGAGTTAATATTTTAATCAGAGAGATAACACGCATATAAAAATATAAAACAATAAGCTAATTCATATGTAGCTACTCGCACTGCCATATAATAAATAAAAATGTATAAAATGAATAATTAAATAATTAAATGTGGATTGTATTTTGATATCCGGTTCAAGGGACCAAAATGAACGGTAGTCAAGGAAAAATAAATAAATTAAAATTGAATATAGATATATGGAAACTACTATTGGAAAATTGATAGTACAAAATACAAAATATATAAAATTATGTTATTTATAAATTGCCTAATCACATATATATAGGTATACGTAAATATGACATAACAGTTATACAAATATAACAGTGGCGATTTCTTCTGATTTTCCGTAGTGCACATATTTAAGTTTAAGCTTATTACTATCAATTATAGGCTAAATGATGAATTTTTTTTATTATTACATAAAAATCGCTTTATAATCATCATTTATTTTAAGTGGTCTACCTTAAAATGTTGGTAAAATATTTTTATATATTTACTATATTTATAGGTTTAATTATATATATATATATTTATATACTGGTGTTTTATTGTATAATTATGATGTAATAGTACTATAAAGGTGATGCACATTTATAATTTCGTAGTGCACACAAAAATAGTCGAATTGATAATAGCGAATTTTAAAATAAACGATCATGCGTAATAGCGAAACTGCAGTTTTTTATAATTTCTATTTTAAATACTATAACTATACATATTAATATACTACTTGGATAAGTTTGAAAACTTATATAACTATAAAAATATAACTTAACTTATTAATAATTAGTATTTTTAATTATATAATAAATATTTTTCAGGAGGAAGCCAACCTACTATATGGAAATTTATTGATATAATAGACAATTCGAAATTTAGAAGAATTCAAACAAGAACAGTATAATTTTGAAGAACAACTAGAGATAAAAAAAAGTTCAAGAACTGTGCTAAAAGATTCTATTTGTTAATTTCAAATTATAATTCTAATGATAATAATAACTTTGTAAATGGTATAGCATATAATTTTTCACTAAATGCCTAGTTGTTTTTTCAAAATTATTATCACTAAATGCCTAATTGTATATTTTCCCTCTTTTTTAAAATTCGCTGTTTTCATTTTCGTCATTATTAATTCGCGATTTTTACATTCGTAGTTATTGTTTTGCTATTTTGGCCGGATACCGTTTTTTATAACCTATGAACACTGTTTGTCCTAATGGGCGTTAATAAATAAATAAAAATAAATAAAAAACTGATACCAAAGGTTTAATTGTTTTTATAAAATATAGAAAAAAACTTTATTTTTCTAAAAATAAAAGGCCATTTGATATCAACTTCTGTAAATTTTATTTTAAGTATAAGTATTTATTACAAAAGTATTGTTCAAAAATACTGGTTAAGATACTGCAGAGAAAACTTAGAGGCTATTATAGAGGCATAATTGCACAGCATGATGAACTAAATGATGGGCCAATACGATTGAAAATATCTACAGCTCTTACTGCAAAATGGTGCTTTCCATCATCGACAAACTAGAAAAGTTTTAATTAAAATTAGGTTATTTTCAAAAGTTATAAAAATACCATTTACGTTAGTTAATTTGCAAGCCGTTGGTAACTTAAGAGCACCGACGTTTACAAATTATTTCCATTGATTTGTCCTACGAAGAGCTGAAGATGTTTCTCAATAAACAAATATTTGATAACTAACAATTTTAGTAAATGTACTATTAAGATTCATATTCCAAACAAACATTAACACTGTAATAATAATAATAATAATAATAATAATATGTTTACAATTAAATGTATTTATAAAAAATGTTATACAGAATATAATTTGCAATAATATAAAAACCTTTATTTTTTAAATCTTTTACAATGTTCAATGTTGGTGAAGGTGGAATTTATTTTTAATGGACGAATATGTCTCTGAATTGGAACAGTAGGCAATGTAGCAGAATACTATAATTTTAAATTAATTCATTAAAACAAATTATAAAATTAATGAATTATAATATTAAATTAAATAAATTAACTGAAATCATACTTTTGGTATAGGT